TGAGGCCGCCCGGGGTGGCGGCGGGCAGAGCTGCTGAGCCTGGGCTGCGCTGCCGTGCAGTCACCTTGGGTGTCTCCTCACGAGAAAGCCGAACTGGACCGCCTGCCGATGGGTCACCGAGAGCCGCCGGGGGCGGTTTGCGTTCTGTGGGCAGCGCCCTCGCCTCTGGGGGACAGTCCTGGCTTGTCATCCCCGCTTCCAGGCTGCAGTACGTTTTGCAACACGAAGTTACTGAATCCAGAACAGACCTAACACCAGGAGCAAGTTCAGATTTACCACCTCCCTGTGAGCATCCTGGCCAACAGGCAGTAGACACCTTGCAGGCTATGTCCAGCCCAGGAGCTATCACTTTCTGCAATTCATTCCCTGCTGAAAGCTAGGGTACTTTCTCATGAGGCAGGGGAGGATGTGGCCTTGAATGTCTTTTGAAGGGAGGAGAGGAAGGAATTTAGGTCTTGCTCTCTCCATGTAAAATATAAAAGGCATTTACACTCTGCAGAGAGGGGTGGCTGTAATTGCATTTTGTGAGAGGCCTCTCAATATGTCGTAGCTATGATGTGAGAAAGCTGCCCGGATGGAGCCCTTTGGGAGCCTTCGGTGGAGGAAATTCAAGAATTTTAAGCTCAGCTCAATTCAGCCATGGATTAGGATGCCGCGGTGCTCACATCTAACAGCCAGGGCTAGGCATGTGCCAAACTGCAACTGCAAAGTAGACATTAAGTGCTGCAACTGCAGAGCACCTCCCAGGTGTAGGCAGCAACTGAGTGTTGTTTGTTTGTTTTTTTTAGATCGCAATCTTAAACTGGTGGCTTTTCCCTTTTACAATTACAATTTAGGCGATTAAATTTACTCTAAGTCACACTTTAGGACCCAGTCCATTATTGGATCTCACCCTCGCTGACTGCTTAGGAAACTCTCTGCCTTTGGTCCTATTGATGCACCATAAACAAGATTCTGCAGATTCTGCTCAGTCTGTATAAAAGAACACTCGAGGATAAAGAAGGCTGAATTTTACTCCTTTCCATATGGAAAACATAGGTGGCTCATCTCTGTTCAGTTGGATTCCAAGGCACAGCTGATCAGATTAAGTTACTGAATACTCTGGACTGGATGACAGCAAAAGGGGAGGTGGCGAGGTCACTGTGATAATAATTTCCAATTCTGGTCAGAAAGGCTGGACTGAGGAGGACTGGTTTTTGCTCTGCAGTCTCAAGCTTAAGGCTCAGTCCTGGAATCTCATCTGAGTCTGGAGAAGCAGTGGCTGGGAAGTACTTTGTTATTCCCACCTCCCAAGGAAACCATAATCTTTGCTTTGTGGATTCAGCCCTCACCCAAGTATCCTGTACACTCCAGGGGAGTGCTGTGCTGTTGTGTGATGACATTTTCTAACTACTCCAGCTGCAGAGCCCAGAGATGCACTGACTTGGTGACATTTTCTTACTCCATCTGGTTGCTTATCAATTCGTGGTTCAGATCTGCACTTTCCAGTGTGATGGATTCATGGTTGTTGCCTGACTGCCCTCTTACTCGTATCTTTGACCTTCAGATCAAAAACACCCGAGCAAACCACTTGAACAGTGCATGCAGGGGCTGAGGCAGGGTGAATCTTTTTTGCTGAAGAGTTCTGAGGGCTGCTGTCTCTAGATGATAAATCTTCAGTCATTTGCAAAGCACCTTTCTCTCACGGTCCTTTTTTTGTGTTTGTAAGCCCTATTTTGATGGTAGTGGTTTTTCTAATTCACAAGCCCATACCTTGAATACAGGATGTAGAAGATGAACTTATATTAAAAATTGCATGTTTGCAATTGTGTACAGAGTGATGGAAGAGTATTTCTTGAGTAAGCTGAAATAAATACTCAGGTGGATTAATCTGTCAAATTTTTAAAGTGCTCAGAACTTGAAGGGAATAATTTCATATTAGTTTAAGCTTTTGTGCTTGTTTTTCTGTTTACTGTTTATTTCTGTTTGTAAAAATTCAGCACTGAGTTTTGGGACATCTGCGAGTCCTCTAGAGGGCAAAATAGATTTAACTTTAGCTTCCTCAGGGAGCTAAAGAATAATGCTGCAAATAAGCTTTTTTTTTTCCTTCCTCATCAGTGGGTAATTTAAAACATCCTCTGTCTTTGTGGCTCTTGAGCTTTGATTCTCAAGTGTACTTAAGTGCCTAATTAAATGGGAATTAGGTGTTTGAATTCTTGTGTGGCCCTAAGCCTTTGGGTTTAACCGACTCTGTGACACTCTGTACCTCTCGCCTTGCAGGTGTGGGTATGGCCATGAGAAAAATGGGAAGCATGGCCAAACCCGATGTTTACATTATTAAGGATGGGGACACAATCACCGTAAAAACAGAAAGCACCTTCAAAACTTCACAGTTCAGCTTCAAGCTTGGTGAGAAATTTGAGGAAAATACATTAGATGGCAGGAAAACTCAGGTCAGTATACTAGAATTTCTACTGAAAAACCACAGTTCTTTGGATGTTTTACAGATGGAGATGCTATTTAAAAATCGATTTTGACATCCATACTAACAATGCTTTATTTGATGAACGGCTGCCACTGTAAATTGAAATAATTTTTTTTTTCTGGGGTTAAGCACCTTCCAAAGAGGGAAAATGCTGAAACCAATAATGTCTTGTGTATTTTGTTGTTTTCAATTTGTAGCAGAAGCATTGTGTTAGTAAAACTAACAGACCTCTAAATCCATGTTAAAGCCAAATGCCATTTCATTTGAAGCCTATGGGGGGAAAAAAAAAATCCCATTGATGTTTAGTCAGAGGCAGTTCAGCCCTTTCCGCTCAGTCTCATATTTGCATGACAAGAGAGCCTGGCTCAGTGAGCACTGGGATAACTGACCCTCAAGGCACACAACACAGCCCCTAATCTCCAGTTTTAGAAGGCAAAGAGCTTCACCCTGCACCAAGTAGGGAGAATATTCCTCCAAAAGGAGGTTAAACACAGAGAAGCCCTCAAATATATTTCTGTCGTTTCCCTGTGTGAGTGTTCTCTGTGTAAACGTTACACAAAAGCTCAAAGCCCATGTACAAAGAGACGAAGGGGAGAACATCGTCTGCTCTTGTTAATTGAAATCGTGCATACTGGCAGAGGTCTGCCCAGTGGAGGAGTGTGTCAGGGCAGAGAGTGAAAAAGCAGTGAGCTACAGTAAGAAAAGGAACCATAAAACATTTAAGTTAATATCCTGGCTTTGTAGATGTCAATGGCAAAATTACTATTGAGTGAGCTGGGGTGGGAATTTTTCCTTTGGAATAAGGTTGTTGGAAAGCCATCGTATGTTGTGGGTAAAATACTGATGTTTGGGTTCTTCTTTCAGACCCTTGTCAACTTAAAAGATGATGGGTCATTGATTCAGGAGCAGGAACGGGATGGCAAGAAGACCATAATAACACGGAAACTAGTGGACGGACAGTTGGTGGTGGTGAGTTCAGTCCTGCTTTCTGATCCCTGAGTGCTGCTGGCCGGTAGCCTGAAGAGTAACTCTAAACCATCTCTTTCCTTACAGTCTGCACTGAGGCAAATTAATGAATCCATCTTTTTATCTTCTAGGAATGTGACATGAATGGTGTCAAGTGTGTTAGAGTCTACCAGAAAGCATGAGGACATCTTCATGTTCAGTAAGGACCTGCTACAAACAACTCAGTTCAGTGGACAGAGCTCCTTCACACTCCGTATTTTCCTTTTCCCTGTTTTCTAGTATTTCAATGGACTGAGTAGCTGAGTGCAATCCTTTTTAAAAGCCGTGATGTAACTATTATATAACTATTCTGAACTTATGAGGCTGTTAAATAAAATTGTGAAATATATGAAGTGGAAATGGTGTTACTGCAGTGGAATTTTAAAGTGAGGTTTTATAAAAACTCAGTTTGGTTTTAGGCTCTACTACCAACTGCCTTCAGTTCAAAATAATGCAATACATGGTAACGAAGAGTTAATAGCAAGCTGAATTTTGTCCAGCATCCTTAATTGCTAAGGTAGTAAAATCTGAAACAGAAAAAAACATTCAGAGTTCAGGCTCCAGAGCTGTTTCCAACTTGCGTGTTACAAAGTTAAGGGGATGGGGTGGGTATACGTAAGAGAGAAGCTTTGTTGGTGTTTAAGTAGAGGAATGTACTTTGAAGGGCTGGTTTGGGGGTTTTTTCATGTTTCAAACCCACACATTTCTTATCTGAAAAAATATATACTGGTGAGCCAATGGACATGATAAACTTAAGCAAACTCATACACGCTTTACTGAAAGGAAGCCTTATTTTGAGAAGACTCTTTGTTTTCCTAGCAAAATTCTTATTTCCTGCCTAGTAACATTCTAAAAATTCTTAACCAAAATCTACTGAAATACTGCCTAAAACGTAAAGCCTCATTTTATTTTATTTTTTTTAAACTGGCTTGAAACACGTAGCAATGGAGTTTATATGCTTTAAAGTGCCATAATAAATAATCAGAAATATCAGTGTCTTGAGTATTACTTCTACACTGGTTGGGAGGCAGAGCCTATGATGTTACTGTGGTTCCAATGATGTCAGATCTGACAAAATTAAAAAGCCTTAGGTGAGTTTTTGATACACCAGACAAATTTCCTAAAAGTGAAACTGTTTGGCAAGATGTGATGGGGTGATTTCTGTCAGATTCAGGAGCCTGGGGGGATCAAGCAATCAGTCACATACTTCCAGTGTGCGGAGTCCATTGCTACTTCAACCCTACTGATACTTTAGCTTCTCGGTGCGTCTATCATATTACTGAGCTTACTGTTCTTTTGTGTTCATCCTACCAACCATGGAAAATGACTTCTATAATTTTGGACCATTTTCATGATTTCCTGACTAGTTATGAATCATCCCCTTTATGTCATCTGAAAGAATTTATAGCTGGGGCATATTTCTTGCATTTTTTCCCCCCATGACATGTATAAAAGTAAATATTCTTCCTGGTGCCCTAATGTCTCCTTTTTGAGTTGGCCAGTCTTCATGTCACCTTCATTTAGTATTCTTCCTGACTTTATTGTGAACCCTGAAGATCTATGTCGTATTCTTATACAGGACATTAGAAATAGATTTTTTTGTTGTTGTTAGGTGAAGGAATCTCCCCGTAGAAACAATAGAAACAGAAAACAAACTGATCTGATGAGTCTGGTAGGTTGTCATGGTTTAACTGCAGTTGGCAACCAAGCACCACCCAGCCACTTGCTCACCCTCCCTAGTGGGATGGGGGAGAGAATCAGAAGAGCAAAAGCAAGAAAATTTGTGGGTTGAGATAAGAAAAATTTTATAAATGAAATTTAAAAAAAATGTAATGAAAAGGAAAAAAATGAGAGAGAGAGACAGAGGAACAAACCCCAGGAAAAATAAGTGATGCAACTGCTCACCACCCACTAGCCCATGCCCAGCCCAGCCCCCAGCAGTGATTGCCATCCCCCCAGCCGACTCCCCCCCAGTTTATATACTGAGCATGACCTCATATGGTCTGAATAGCCCCTTGGCCAGTTGGGGTCAGCTGTCCTGGCTGTGCCCCCTCCCAGCTTCTTGTGCACCTGGCAGAGCAGGGGAAGCTGAAAAGTCCTTGACTTAGTGTAAGCACTGCTCAGGAATAACTAAAACATGAGTGTGTTATCAACATTCTTCTCATCCTAGATCCAAACCACAGCACTATGCGAGCTTCTAGGAAGAAAATTAACTCTGTCCCAGCCAAAACCAGGACATAAGATTATGATCAGAAATACGCTAAATAGTAGCAGGAGAATGGGTGCAGCAATCCACAGCATGATATGAAATTCCCGCCTCCTTTTCAAAAGAAACAACATCACTGCTTTAAGGAGGACATTATGCCTTCTTTGGGCTGACTGCTCTATCACTTATTGCTGTTTGTTTACTCTTCTGATACTGGGTGGTGTTAATTGTTTATCTTCATTTGAATGGAAAAAGCTTCCAATGTCTTATAGGACATCCGTTTTTATTACAATGAGATCACTTCTTGTGAAAGAAAAGGCAGAAGAGTATCTTTTCAGAGCTATTTCCTTTGGAAACAACGCTTATAAAGTCTGTGTTTGTGTGTGTATGCTCTCTGATTTCAGCTACATGTGCAGTAGAGGTCCCAAAGATAATTATTCTTCCACAAATGTCATGAAAACAGGCAGCCTGGTGAAGGAGATAGCCCATTAAAGTGCCTTGATGATGGTAAGACTGCAGATGGAAGTGACACTTTGTCTGACATTAAATGGAAGAACAACATTATAAGCCCTCTTAGGACACATAAGAAGTTGCCTTAAACACATAAGTTGATCAATGGTAAGATGCAGATCAACAGGAAACTAGAATTCTTTAGAGCCAATTCTCCAGAACTGCTTAGACTCACATATTTATTTGCTTTATTTTGATGTTAGCGTCAGCCTATATTGCTGGCCATTTCAATGTACGTGTACTGTGACCTGGAACTACCATATATACAACCTGTTTGGGTTAGATTAGACCATATACTTAAACAACAATTGTTTTATTGTACTGCAAGACAAGATTTGTAATGCTCAATACTTGAAAATATAATTCAATTCCAAATTTTTTCTATTTGTTACTATACAAGCCAAAAGTTTTATTCTTCATGAAGTGTGTATACACAATGTTCTCATCAACGTAAAATAATTGTCCTGAGATTTGAATTACTCTCTGTAGTTCATTATATCAAATAAGATGGTGGAAAATAAGACTTCCAAGAACGACTGAAAAAGAAGAAATTATACATTATCCAGCCAGGACGGGACTGCTTTATAAAGAAACATGAAAACAGGAGACAAGTTTTGCTGTGACATTTTAGTGCATGTTTTTGAAAATATTTTGGAGGGATAAAAGAAACATACTCAGCAAACTAAGGCTGCAAGGAAAGCTTGTTCAAAGAGAAGCAGTTTCCATATCCACTCCAACACATGTTCATTTCAAGTCATGAGCAGTGCCCAATTTATATCTTTATATCCCACTGTCTTCTCAAATTGGTGCAGTTCTGCTGTTTCCATAGAAGGAGGGTGTGTGTGTGTGTTTGATTGGTTGGTTTTTTGGGTGGGTTTTTGAGGGGTTTGGGTGGGGTTTTTTTGGTGATGAACTGGGGTAAAGGAGTAGAAAATGAAGTTGTTTAGCAATTTAGATCTGATATTCTACCACATTAGGGAAATCTCTTGTCTGAGCTTTCCAGGAACACTAATGAAACGGCACCATGCTTTGGCTCCCCAAAGTGTACTGGCTTTATACAATGCTCAGACTATCAAAGATTTTCCTGTTATGGTTGGGTTATATGATTTATTTCAAAATTGTTATCCTACTCGGCCTGAAATCTCTGCAATTAATACTGGCCTTTCCTCTTCCTCTCCCCTCCCTACCTCACACATACACTTCAGATCAAAGTTTTTTAAAAAACAAAGGCAATGATGGGAAATCTCTCTGTTTTCAGAGTTTATGGTCCTGCAGCTGTCAGCTGTCCTAAAAAAAGGCAGTGATTATTTCTTCAAGCATGGAGGTCAAGTGTAGGAAGATAGTTTTGCTTTGTCAATGGCTGCTTGGGCAATATTAACTATGAGACTCAAACATCCAAAAAGGAAACGAATCATTGCATAGGCACTCTATTTTTTTTTTTCAGGTTAGAACCTAAAAATGCGGTATTGTTGATTCTAGTAAGTATAAACAATAAACAACCTTATCTACTTCTATATTATATTATGTGCAATATATTCTGTTGTTCATAAAGCAGTCCATTCAAAGTAATTCTTAGTAAAGTTCAGATGATGGTGAAAAAAGTGCCCTGTAAGTATTTTTCAGGGCCCCAGGGGCCTTGAGCTGGGGCTTCCCCGACCCCTACCCATGAGCCCAGGAGCCCCATTTCAGCTCAGCCTGGGCCATCAGTCTGTGCCTGAGCTAGTTGTCAGAGGGTCAGTCTCCAGTGCAGGTACCTGCAGATTTTACACAAAAAATTCATGCGTTAACCTCAGTTCTATGAAGGAACTACCTTCTAAAGGTCTTGTATTCTAGTTCAAATTGTTTTGCTAAAATAGAAGCAGTAATGCAGGCCAGCTCCAATCAAACCTTTGTTGGTGACTCCTTCCCTGCCTGAGTATGTGCTAACACAATGAATGGATTAGAAACCCTTTGCACTATGTTGATTATTTGTGCTTGTAGGGGGAAAAAAAAATCCCTCGCAGTGTGATAGTGGGTGGGAGCAAGTTAACATATTAATTATTCTTTGATGCCCCATTTCAGTCCCATTGTTCAGCCCTGGGAGGATTTAGCACTATTTTCATAGGTTTTGGAGACAATCCAGCATCTGTGTAAACACTTCTTTGTCCCATGGTTCTCCTTCTAGCTTTGGCTTTTCAGCCCTTGTACATCAAATTAAGATTTTGTTGACGCTTCCCAGAATGGTTTTACTTCATACTATTATTTCAGAGGAAAAGGAAACACTATTAGAGACCCTGCTCCCAAGGGTGAACTTGGCTTCCTTTCCAGCAAAAGTGTTTCCAAAATCAATTCCATCTACCAGATGGGCTTAATTATCTTCTAGATATATTCACAGGTAAAGTCCATTATAGTTTCAGAAAAAATGTAAAGTTTCAGCAATAAGTGCAATCCAGAATCGGTTTCAGATAATGTCCTGCAAAAATCTACTGAATCCCAAATATTATAGTTGAGCCTCTAAAATAAATAACACACTTGTCATTAATCACAGATGTATGTATGCTGTGAAATTAAACAGCAGAAGACAAACATCCCACTCTGAGGACCATGGATACCACTTATCTAGGACTGGACATTTGCTCCCACACACAGAGCATCTGGTTCCCTTGGAAATTCCTGCCTGAAATCAATGAGTCTACCTTCAGAAAAGGCCTTAGCTAAGGATGCAGCTCAGCTCATTGTGCAGTGCAAGTATCCAACAGAAAATCAAAGGACTGAGTGCAATTTTCAGGCTGGGCTGGTGGTGCATTGCTGCTACACAGCCTAGGGGCATGCTTGCTCTGTGGCTTGATGTCTTCTGGGGCCATTGTGGTATAGTCCTGTCTGGTGGACAGCAAATTTGAAATCGTAAAGAATAGGGTAGCCTGCATCTCTTGACCTCAACAGCAACCTTGAACTGAGACCAGAGAGTCCATGACAGGGATTTTCTGGAAACTCTGGGAGTACAAAGGCTCTTTAGGTGCATGGAAAGTTGAGCTGAAGGCAACTCAGACTGACTCCTTGGTCTAGAAATTATGGCCAGGCCTTGTTATGGCTTTGCAATTTGATTCTATAAGTAGCCCAGTGAAGCAGAGGAGTAGGAATTACTCCTGTTCTATTGCAGAGTGCAATTAAGGCAAAATATCATTAATACTTTCCTTTCCAAAATGTGTGAAGCGGTAATTGATACTGGGATTTGCTCTCCGTGCTTTCTATTGTCTTGTCTCCACTC